AAATAGATACTATACCAGAGTCATAGTAAACTTCATTACTAAAAAAAAAGTTTAATTACTTGAATCAGCCGAATCACCCAACGATTTCGTGGAAGTTTAAGAGACAAAACAATCTTCAATAAACAAGTATAAAATTAAAACCAAACGACACAGCAGTGCGAGTTTATTTTACGTTAACTATATCGAAACATTACCACTTTGAGCCTTCTGATTGGTTGATGAACTTGAAACGGACCAATCAGAGCGTCGAACGTCATAAATGTGTCGATCGCTTTAGCGAACATCAAACTTGCAAAAGGAAATCAGTTTCATAGTGTACCAACATATAGTAAAATCTTAGCTGTCCCATAAAAACCATTTCACTAATAATTCATAAAAGAGTATAGCTCAATATTGTGTAGTTGTGTTAAAATGCTAATGTTTTATGCGGTACTGCAGAAAGCTGAGTTATGTAGCCATGTCTATGTAGGAAACTTTCACGTCGCTTTCAGGCCATACCGGTGAATGTAAACGGCCCGTGCAGACGAGGAACTTTTAGCCGCTGAGGACAACCTCACAGATTTCTAAAAGGTAAACCAAAGTAAGCCGAGCACTTACTTAGGTTATACCAATGCGTTTCCCTTATAAATAAACTTGCGTTCGCCAGTGATTTCAGCCGCGTTGACCAATTAAAAGTAGTTGATGTGTTATCTAGTCTGACACTCCCATTTGCCCCTCCAAGGGCGGGAGAAGTAATCTGATGATTCCTCCCCCCCCCCCCTTAAAAACTCTGTGGACATCATGCACGTCAGTATTCGAAAAGTAAACGATCTCTGTAAAACGATCGATGCTTCGATGACTTTCGGCGCTATAATTCGCCTGCTCCAATTTAACCAACCAATCAGAAGGCTACCTAATGCAGAAAGGATTCGATCGCATTAATGTAAAAAAAATCTCACACTCCGCTTTCAGATCAAGGCAAGCATAAGTCCAAAAGTAGACTATCATGGACTTAATTATTTAATTTAATTGATGCCCATGACCAAAAAATTTATATTCAAAAATTTCTATACATCGAATAACTCATGAAATGTAAGTACTAAATATGCACTATGCGTATGCGTTTCCATTTAAATCAAGTCAGCCAGACAAAAATCCCCCGTCTGTGCTAGCCCTAAAGGTTTATTGAATCCTACTTGTGTTTGCTCTAACTGGAAATGTTGCTATGTGAAAAGATTTATCTGTAAGCGCTTAAGGTGCAGAGTAGTATATTGTTTTTCGCTCTTTACGTGATTGGGTGACAGGATGATGTTTAATGCCAACCTGCATTGAGCAAGCGTGGTGATTAGGTAATGCAAAAAACCTTCTCCGTGTGAAAAGAGGCCTTTGCTCAGCAGTGGGCACTTATAGGCTGATGATGATGATGGTTAATATTCTAAACTTAGCTACAGGTTAGATGTGAAGATAGGGGTAAACAAAAAAGTAATTATTAGTTACTTTACATTGTTGTCAAATAGGTAAGTATTTAGTTGCAAATAACAAGTTTTGCAAAAACAAATGACTCATTCGTGTTTCGATGCCAAGATGTACAACGTGTGTAATTTGTTTATTAAATAATAAGTAAACAAGTACAGCTTGGTTACCTATGGAGAAGAAAGATTCTGTGATGTGATAGTTTTGGCAAAAGGGCAGATGGACTACCTGATGGTAAACAATCCGTGCCGTCCACGGACAGGGGAGTTACGAGAGCGTTGCTGTCGTTTTAGGGAGTTGAGTTTGGGAGATTTAAGGATTGAGGAGGAATAGGGAAGGGGAAAAATTAGGCTTCGCACGGCGAAACACAACGCTGTAGTTGATTCACGCCGGTTTTCAGTGGGGCCGTGGTAGCACCAGTTGAGCCGACTCATTCGTGACGACGCTTGGCTCTCCCACAATGAAACGAATAATGGAAAATGCAAACCGAAAACTGATGACGATCAAGCCATCTAGGATGGCAGTGACTTGAGGCAAAATACAGTCAATTATATATGTATTAATGGAACAATGAGGTCCTGATTCTAGGCCACCCACACAGTATTAAGTTTCTTTGTCAACAACGACCTCGCAGTGACACGTGATAACCTCACAATTATTACTTGCTATTATTAACATCCTCTGCGAAAAATATTACGCAGAAAGTAGTTGCGTAGTACTTTAGTTTTATTGATTTGCTAGCTTTTACTCGCGGCTTTGCTCCCGACATTTGACTATCAATACTAGGTACCCTACCCTACACTATCTACCCTACATACCCTATATACCTACCCCACCCTACCTGCTCTACCCTACCTGTTTTCTTCTTCTGCTTCTAAATTAAATGAGCACCAATTCTCAACGAAATCGGTTCAGCCGTTCTTGAGTTATAATAGTGTAACTAACACGACTTTCTTTTATACATATAATTATATGTTATATAGATTTGAAACCTCATGCACAATGGGTACATAGGCGGACTTAATTCCTTTGGCATTTTCTACCAGTCAAGCCTTGGTTGATGCAGAGATGAAGCGAGCAAAGAGACTGAATTTTATACAAAACGAGGGGTTCCTTACTTATTGAGAACAATGATGATGATGATGATGATGATGATGATGCTGTAGAACAAAGACTAACTAACATTGATGTAATTTTAGCAGCATTTTTGAAGGGACACGATGGCATGGCGATGGCTAACGACCAGACGGATTATCTGATGGTAAGCTGTCGGCTATGGTAGCTAACAACCGATGACCGCTGGAGTAAACGTGTTCTAGAGTGGAGACCACGTCTAAGCAAACGTAGTGTAGGGCGCCCTCCAGCTAGGTGGACTGACGACATCTGCAGGGTGGCTGGCAGTGGTTGGATGAGAAGAGCTGAACATCGAGCTCAGTGGCGTGCAATTGGGGAGGCCTATGTCCAGCAGTGGACGACAACAAGCTGATGATGATGATGATGATGATGATGAAGCTATCGGCGCCACCCTTGGACGAGTGTCCTATCTTGCAAGTCTTGCAACACTAGATAAGTTGCAAGTTCGTTGCCGGCCTTTTGGAGATAAGTGTCATTGATGGTTAGGGGATTTAAGAGGGCTGGAGGAGGGAAGGGATTGAAGCCAGGAAAAACATTAAATAATACATAATATGTGTTATTTTCTTTGCAGCTATTACCGATTACATATTAAACGTGATGTCGTTATGGTAAGTATTTTATTGAATGGCTTATCGCAAAATTCCTTTCCGCTTTTTTTGTACTACATAATTGTTTTATATAAGAACGTTACAGTGATTTGTATTCGATAATATTTAAATAGGTAAGTATTATTTTGGCGTTACGCTTTGAAATAAGTTACACTGTAAGATATTTGATGCAATAATTAAATAAAGACTAGATTAACAATTCAGTTTGTCGTTAAAATAAAATTGCAATAATAGAAATGGGTTCCACGGATAAACAAACAAAATCTTTATTAAAACGTTACCAAGCACGATAAAAAACAATTTAGAAAAAAAAAAACAAATAGAGCGTGTGTTTTTGTTTTGAGCCATTTCTGAGGGGCATCGATGCAAAATTCTCAGAGTTATAAGGTTAACTAAGATAAAACACAGTACCAATAAATATGTGATTAAAATATTCCGCGTAAGATAACAATGTTCTTAGAAAGGTAGGTATTGCAGTAATTACATTACCTACAGTTAGACAACTTGTAATAATGTGCGCATAAGGACGATATTTCTTTAGTGCATCGCTGCTTCAATGAATGCCGACCATCAAAAAAACCTATGTAGGTGCGCCTAAATGTTTAAAACTATACAACGGATTATGATGCTGTTTTTTTTATAGATAAAGTGATTGAAGCGGGACCTTTATATCTATTATATGTATACCTATATTATATCCATGAAATAGTGGAGAAATTCAGTGTGAGCATTGTTCCCGAACGAAGCCGGGGCGGGTCGCTAGTAACATTATAAATCTGAGGAGTTTATTCGTTTGCTTGAACGTGTTAATCTCCGGTACTGCTGGTTCGAATTGATCATTCATTTTGTGTTGAATATCCCATTTATCAAGAAGATTAAAAAAGAACACGCCCCAATAGGAACAGAGCAGCAGGTAAAACTGCGCGTGAGTCAGTCGATGATAAAATACCTAGATCAGGTAGAGATTTTATGCGATTTTATTAAGGTTTTTAGATGAAAAATAGTCCTTCTATCAAAAAGACTGTTACTATTATTTAATGCATGGGTCTTATAAGACAAAAAATGTGTGTTGGTTGCCTTATATGTACCTATAATTTTACTTCTGAAAATAAAAAACGTAATACAATTGTAATAGGTAATCTAAAATTTGATGTTAATTCAGAAGATTAACATGCACCCAACAATAAAATGTATACTTCACAAACTTCAGCCAATAATTGCACTCAATCTGACAGATTCATTATAAAGATGTTCTAATCTATCTCCGGTCAAGCTTTGAGGTCACTGACCCGCCAGCTATCTACTAGTAGGCAATAGATTAGTCGCGGCAAATTCTTTAATTGCCATTGTCATAGTGCAACTATTTATACAATTACAGTTATACACGTAACTAACGTTCTGATTTTCGTAAGAAATGGCTTGGAAATGAACTAAACTGTTTCAACAGATATGGAATTGACCTTTGTTTTGAGGATTGAAAATTATCTAATGACTTCCCTAGGATATGGCGATGGGAGAGTCAGACTCTCACTGACTAAAACTGGCAAGACCCGCCACCCTGGTTGACCCTTGTCTTTAAGTATGTAGTAGTATCTTCATGTAAAAAGAGGTTTTATTTATATTTATGTAGCCATACCTAGTGTACTGTGAAAACATGAAACTCCGTTTTCGGAGTATACGAGAAAGTAACAGAAGCTAGACTTTCTCATGAACAATGGTGCACTCGTACAGGTCCGTACGCTTATCTAAGTCCGTGCTTGAAGTAGTGCAAGTTTTGCACTAGTTGCTGGTGGCAGTGTGTGCAAGTCCTAGTCCTTTTAATCCGGTTATGTGAACGCGCGCGCATCACTTGCCAGCCCGCAGTCGCACGCGCAACCCGTCAACTGTGCTCACACGAAATAAACCGCGAATTTCGAATTCATTGTTGTAAAATAAACTTTAAAAAAATGTACAAATCTTTGATAGTTCTTTGTGTGGTGTACTGTGTTGTAATTGGTAAGTTTTGATTCTTTTTTTATTTAAATTAAATATGTAATTGACAATAACTATCGTATCGATTTAGAGTAAATGCTCTTTTTACTGCATAACAATGAAACCTATTTTATATTAATCTAAAGACTGTAAAATATCCGCTATTTAATCTAGTCGCTGAAAGCATAGGATCATAAATTTTCAATTTATATCGTTTGCTTTTGTTCTTCGGTTTAGGGCTGATTTTTCAATAGTCAGATAAATGTTATCTAAGAAATAAAATCGTTGCTCTCACTGTCTTATACAAACATTCAGACGCGACAGCATCATGATTATTCACCAGGTAACTTTTATCTAACCATTGAAAAATCAGCACTTAGAGAACCGTTCTGAGTCACATTGCAAAAAAATGTGAAAAAAAAAATCTCGTATCGAATTAAACAAAAAGTTTACGAAGCTAATTATAAGGTATTAACAAAGTTGGTCATAATCAAGTCACGTCGATGTGAGGTGTAGAGCAAATCGTGGCAAGATGATCCTTTTCCGCAATCGTGACCCCATATCGGATAGTTTTTTTTTTTTCAATTAGAATCTGTAGCGAAAAAAACAAATGAACAGAATTAAATATTTTACCACGTTCTTTATTTAATCACGTGGCATTTCAGTTTTTATTGATTTTTTTTATGTACCCATACCTACTTGGTAGGTACAATTGGTACAATTGGTACAATTTGTAGGTTTTTAAGGGATTTTATCTATTTGCATACAGCTTCTAAGTTTCTTGTTTGTTTAACGCCCCTCACTACATACATAATTATATTATGCCATATCTACTAATAATTATGAATAAGTACAAACTAAGTAACTAGAAGTGTTCCTGTTTTCTTACACTTACGATACAATATAATATAAAACATGGAACAAGCAATATGATCGTCATCATCATCAACAACCACCCAAGGCTTACAAACAACACTGCTGGGAAAAACCTTCTTCTTATAAGGAGAAGGTTTGAGCATTAATCAACACGCTTTCTCATGGCTATTTTAAACTCATAATTAGTCATTTTAAGTCCAGGTTTGTTCACCATGTTTTTCTTCACTGTCTGTCATTGGTGTCTAAATATTCTTAGAAAGTAGGTACCCCTAGTTACATATAACTAGGAAACAGTCATTGACCGTGCCTTAACGTCCGGGCCACCGCGATATTTACACAGACTAGGCTTTACTATTATACAAAGTGTAATTACCATAGACAATATAACAAATGCATGCATAACTCTTTATAGAAAAAAAAAGAAAGCTGAACAGACTTAGTTTAAAACGCGTTTCTGAAACAATTTTTTATTAGTTTTGGACTGCCTGTACCTTATGTTTACCTTTTAAGCAATTAGTATATCGTTAAAATTTACTACTACCAGTAAAATTGAATTATCTCATTGAACCGTTGATTTAATCCACGGTTACCGAAAAACTTAACGCGTTAGTCACGTTGTTACAAAAAGCAGTATCTTGTTTGTTAAGTTCATATAAATTAATTTACTGGTAAAAAAATATAGTAGCTCATCACTTTTAAATAAAAAAGAAGGTAGGTAGAGCAATTAAAATTAGAAAAAAAAATTAAGGGAAATCATTTTAATGAAGAAACTTCAAAATATAATACACCTGTGATTGATTTTGTGTTCTGAATTGTTGTTTTCTTGTTTAAATAGAAGAAAATTATTTTGGGTTAGTGTAAAACTATTGTTGTTTTCTTTTTTTTAATATATTTTCTAAGTGAGTTTAGCGCTTTACCTAAACAATAGACGTGGTCTGATGATCACCACGACCATAAATAATAGCACAAGTTTAAATTAAAATCAATAATAAATACTACAAATACAAAACGGATCAAAACAAAAAATAAAATTCTAGACTACTATTCAATTAGGGGCTAATTATTTAATGGTTAGATAAAAGTTACATGGGCAATAATTATGATGCTGTCACGTCAGAATGTTTGTATAAGACAGTGACAGCAACAATTTTATTCCTCACATAACATTTAGCTGACAATTGAAAAATCAGCCCTTAAATAAAAACTCTACACCTACTACTAAAAATAAATACTAATATTAGTAAAAATAAAAATAAAATAATAACTTAAGTTGGCAAGGGCAAATAAAATCTATCATTGTTTTAAGTTAGTATGACACTTGTAGACTTATTTAAGTTCCGAAGTTACAAGTTAATAAAACGAGAAAAGAGGATGTAATCAAAAGGAGTTGATAGCAGTTATGGACAGGAATGCTGTTGCTACCTGACCGGACGAAGGGCTAACTAGCTTTACTTGCCTGCATTGATGATCATACACTTTAATTATACATCTTTATCAAGTCCATCCTTAAAAATCCACCATTAAAATATTAGATTCATATGAGTCTTTGCACGGCATAGAATCGTGAACGTCTTTAAAACCATAATGAACAACTTTACTTAGTTGTATAGCTTATAAATAAAAAAATATAGATACTAACATATATTCATTTATCTTTATTAATACATATAATCCTACAAATATTATAAAGGCGAAAGTTTGTAAATATGGATGTATCTATGTATTAGATACTCTTTGGAGTAAGAACTACTGAACGTATTTGAAATGAAATATGTCATATCATAGATATAGATTATAGTCTGGAATAATACATAGGCTTTTTACCCTGGTACAATGGATTAAAAAACAGTGGCAGAAGCTAATAAAACAGTAAACATAATAATAAATCAATAATAATCTGTAAATAAAACATTTTTCAAAATATAGATAAATTTTATAAATAAAATAAACGAAAATTAATAATAACGATAAACGAAAACGGAGAGAAAAATTAAGAAAATCTAAATATGTTTGTAACATTGCCTGTTTGTTGATACACTATTCTCCAGAACCCATGGACGGAATTGAATGAAGTTTATTGCATATCCTTTTTGTATTAGGATAAACTTTTTTGTGAAAATAGGATGAAAAAAAACCTGTCTCCTGCAATCTTTACGCGTATTTTAATAAGTTTATTCAGAAACGTGAATCAGACAATTAATGCAGAAACTCCTAATTGTTTTAAAACTTTTTAATTTAATTTCCGTAATATTATCTTTTAATTATTCACAGATTCATCTGGGTTATTGATTTATGAATAATGTAACTGACCCTATTCTGAAATGAGCACTAAACCAACTGCTAATAAAATATTATTGTTTTATAGAACCCTTTGAAACGGCACAGAGTGCAATTGCAATAACAGAATACTACTCAAGATAAAATCATATCCAACCAATATTATTAACGCAAATGTTTACAAATATGGATAGGCGTTTGTTACTCTTTCACGTTATAACTACTGAATGAGTCTGAATGATGCACATAAATAAAATATAGGCTCGAATAACACATAGTTAGGCTACTTTTAAGCCTGGTTCTGAGAGCGAAACCGCTGGCAGAAACAAGTCATTAATATTTTTCAAACTCTCCTTCGGGAGGAGAGCTATTTTTAATGATTTTCTTCACAAAATTCCGCATTCTGACGAAATTAAAGCCTTGAGCTAGCGTGGTGATCAATGCTCAAATCTTCTCCGAGTGAAAAAAGGCCTTTTCTCAGCGGTGGACGCTTACAGGCTGATGTGATTTGTGACGAAAATATCTATAAATATTCAATTATTTATTTAATAAAGTACCTATAACCAAATAACAAATTCATTATTAAAGTATCTTACAAACAATCTTAAAGTATCAATTTGTTTAAACATCTCGTGATTACATTCTTATATCATTACCCATCACTGTTAGTCATCAAACGGCAAAAAGTAACTTTTTGCAAGCTTCATTTTTTATTTAAATCGATACTCTTGATAATGATATCATCGGCAGGTTAGGGCCACTGATTCCGGGAAGGTTGAGCCGGACAAAGAACAAGCTATGCTAGAGCAAAAGTATCAAAATTACCTCAGTGATGTCACTCTATACGTCAAGGGGAAAAGGAGTGCTAGTTGCAAAATGTCAGAAATTTTATTAATATACTAAAATAATCCCGTCATATGTTTGTAAACTATAGTCAAGCGAACGTGAAGTGCAGTGAACTTGATTTTTATGAGTAAATATAAAATTAATAAACCAAACATATTTAATTCATTCAAACGGTAAATGATTGGACAGCGAATGTTTAAAGAATTTCATTCATACGTTCTTGCTTAATTTATTTATAAGGCTTTAATTGGAACCGAGAAATTACCTTAACAACAATTACAAAAACCCACTAAAAAACAGCAATTAAAATCATAGAATGCTTACATTAATATACACTACCGATAGAAAAGCTTTACCATCCTTTATTACCCAAACAACACAAGCAATGGACAGTAAACGCAACAATAATTTACAACTAAGTACAAAAAGGTTACGGCAGGAATTTTATAATAATGCAAAAACAAACACGATTCAGGTCCAGTCGAGGTGGGTTCCACACCAGTGGGCAGGACAATGACTCTCATATTACGACCGTTTGCGATTAAAAAGCTCTTGTAAATGGATTTTATGATATCTATTTCTGTATTTTCTTGCGTCGAAGAAATTTTGAGTTCATTGAACGATTGTAGCACAGACTACATATATACCTAAGTGAAAAAGAATTGACTTATTAAATGTGCTATGTGAGACAAAAAATATTGTAGAGTATTGTTGTATATTGTATTGTTACAAAGTTATGTACTTATTAGAGTATGTACTAAAATAGATACACAGGTTAGTAGATACATCGACAACCGCTTATAACAATTCTCACAAACATTGGAATATCTAAGTGAATAAAAATAAGCTAATAGCTCTTAGAAAGGGCAGTCAAAATTCCACAAAAATAATTCCTACCAACCTCAAAGTCAAAACCAGATAAAAATATAGGTAATTGATGGAGACTTTTTGAAAAAAAGAACAAGTCGTTATAAGCACGCAATCACTCGATCATATAGTGCGATCTGTAAGACGCACATTGATTG